CCCCCGGGTCGGCGGGAGACAAGCGGCCGAGGGAGAGGGGGAGCAAAGCCTCTGAGGATGCCGGCAGTGGGACAGCTGTAGCGCATCTGGGCTGTCCCGCTGCCCGCGTGCTCCGCGGCTTTGCTCCCCGTCTCCCTGGTCTGCTGGATCAACCCAGCAGCCCCCGAGCTGCTCTGCCCCAGGCGTCCGTAAGTCAGCCGCTGCTGAAACTGACCAGCGCTGACTACAGGAAGCTCGAGGCACAGTTGCTATGCCCTGGGCTTCCTGGAATCAGCTGCTGATCAGTTTCAGCAGCAGCTGACTTGGGGTTCTTAAGTTGAATCTGTATGTAAGTCAGAACTGGCTGAATCTGGACGCCAGTTCCGACTTACATACAGATTCAACTTAAGAACAAACCTACAGTCCCTATCTTGTACGTAACCCGGGGACTGCCTGTAACTCTAAATTGAGAAAGTTGCTAGAAAAATATTTTCCACTTTTTTCCCGTTAGGCTGTTGACTTTGTGCATTTGTAAGTCCTTTTGTGCACAGTATTTTTCACTGTTCCACTTACATCCTGATCCTGTAAACTTTTGCGCACATATACTTAACTTGACTCACATGAATAGTCCTACTAATGTTAGTGGAATTATTTGTGTACTTCAGTGCATTGCTGGATCAGGACCAGAGTGTTTGATATCTTGTAGGATTAAGCTCCTAATCATAGTTCTACAGTGCAACATTATTTCAAAATAACTAGTATTATTCTGAAATAACTTAGTGCGCATCTACACAGCAGGGAGTTATTTTGAAATATTGTCAAAATACTGTCAAGCTGGAAGACTTCGTACTCCAACTCCTGTAAATTGGAGTACATGGAGTAAGGAAAGTCAGACGAAGAGTGCTCTGTTTCAAAATAAATGCTATGTAGATGCTCCCTATTTCAAAATAAGCTACACAATTGATGTAGCTCAATTTGTGTAGCATATTTTGAGTTAAGCTCTGCAGTGTAGATGCACCTACCTACCTCTATTAAAGATTTTTCCCTAGTTAGTTTTTTGGGAAAGGAGCAGAAAGGACAATGGAAATGCTATCTGATCCTCAAGCACTGGTCAATGGGTAGAATGTCTCAGTAGTCACAGTGTGAAATGCAAAGCTGGCACAATGTGGATACTTACAGAATGGTATATCTTGTGGTTCATAAGTATAGAGTCGATTAGAATATCTTCCAGTGATATCAGCTCTTACTGTGAGAGAGGGGTCTGAAAAAGTAGCCATATTATACAATTATCCCATTGCATTTTCAGTAACAGCATCTTCAGTATCTGTTGGTTGTGAATATGAGGCTGGATCAACTTAAATGTAATTTCGGAGGACATTAACTTTGAACAAATGGAATAATTTCATCCTCCCCAAGTTCTTATTACATTGATATATACTGAACAAGTGAGATTTATTTTAAATATTATGTACTCACTGATAAATAGAATATTATATTCATCGTGATATATATATATTCTATTGCATGTTTAAAGGAAATATCATAAGAGAAGGCTAGTCTGACTGAATATATATTCAATAGGGCTTAATCAAAATCATGATTAAGCTCACGATTAAGAAAATTAATTGCTATTAATTGTGCTATTGTACTATTAATGGAACACCCTTATTTAAATGTTTGTGGATGTTTTCTACATTTTAAATTATATTGATTTAAATTATAACACAAAATACAAAGTGTACAGTGCTCATTTTATATTTAGTTTTTATTACCAATATCTGCAATGTAAAAAATAGAAGTAATAGTATTTTTCCATTCTCCTGAAGTACAATTTATCATGGAAGTTGAACTTACAAATGTTCAATTATGTGCAAAAAGTAACAGCATTCACAACTAAAAGTCTGAAACTTTAGAGCCTACAAGTCCACTCAGTCCTACTTCTTGTTCAGCCAATCACTCAGACAAACAACTTTGTTTACATTTGCAAGATGTAAAGGGCAACTAAAATGATTAGGGGTTTGGAATGGGTCCCATATGAGGAGAAGTTAAAGCGACTGGGACTTTTCAGTTTAGAAAAGAGGAGACTGAGGGGGGATATGATAGAGGTCTATAAAATCATGAGTGGTGTGGAGAGGGCCGATAAAGAAAAATTTATTAGTTCCCTAAATAGAAGAACTAGAGGACACCAAATGAAATTAATGGGTAGCAGGTTTAAAACTAACAAAAGAAAGTTCTTCTTTATACAGCGTGTAGTCAACCTGTGGAACTCTTTGCCAGAGGAGGCTGTGAAGGCTAGGACTATAATAGAGTTTAAAGAGAAGCTAGATCATTTCATGGAGGTTAGGTCCATAACAGGCTATTAGCCAGGGGATAGAAATGGTGTCCTTGGCCTCTGTTTGTCAGAGGCTGGAGAGGGATGGCAGGAGACAAATCACTTGATCATGGTCTTCGGTCCACCCTCTCTGGGGCACCTGGTGCTGGCCACTGTCAGCAGACAGGATACTGGGCTAGATGGACCTTTGGTCTGACCCTGTATGGCCGTTCTTATGTTCTTAATGCTGCCCGCTTCTTGTTTACAATGTCACTTGAAAATAGAATTATGGTAGCCAGTATTGCAAGATATTCACATGCCAGATGTGATAAAGATTCATATGCCCCTTCATGCTTCAACATCCATTCTGTAGATCATGCGTCCATGCATGCTGAGGATGGGTTCCAAAGCATTGCAGACCAATACATGTTCATTTTTATCATGAGTCAGAAACTATCAGCAGAAGGTTGATTTTCTTTTTTGGTGGCTTGGTTTCTGTGATTTCACATCAGTGTTGCTTTCTTAAGACTTCTGAAAGCATGCTCCACACCTCATCCCACTCAAATTTTTGAAGGCACTTCCGATTCTTAAACCTTGGGATGAGTGCTTTAGCTGTCTTTAGAAATTTTATCTTGGTACCTTCTTTGCATTTTGTCACAATCTGCAGTGGAAGTGTTCTTAAAACCAGGGGCAGATGACTGTTTTGCAGGGCCCTGTGCAGCATAATTCCGTGGGGCCCCCCCTTTGCCATGGCGCATGCGCAGTGACGCCATGCGCATGCACAGCAGCGCCACGGCGCATGCACGGGGCTTTCTGAAGCGCGGGGCCCAGGGCGGCCGCCCCATTCGCCCTGCCCTATATCCGCCCCTGCTTAAAACAAACTGGCTGTATCTACACTGGCATCCCTTCCGGAAAAGGGATGCTAATGTAGCACTTTGGAATAGGCAAATCCGCAGGGGATTTAAATAGTCTTTAAAAAGTGTCATCAGCATGGAAGCATGAAACACCTCTGGAATGGTGGCTGAAGCATGAAAGGACATATGCTAAATATTTATATCTGGCCTGTAAATACCTTGCAATGCTGGCTACAAAAGGGCCTGATCTCACTTTCAGGAGACACTGTAACTAAGAAGCGGGCAGCATTATCTCTCGTGAATGTAAGCAAACTTATTTATCTTAGTGATTTGCTAAACAAAAAATAGACTGAGTGGATGTGCAGGCTTTAAAGTTTTACACTGTTTTGTTTTTTAATGGTGTTATGTAATGAAAAAAATCTACATTTGTAAATTGTACTTTTATAATAACAATACTGCACCTCACGTCTCTTATGAGGTGAACTAAAAAATACTATATCATTTTACAGTACAAAGATTTGCAACAAAAATAATAAAATGAGCACCGGCCATTTTATATTCTGTGTGGTAATTGAAATCAATATATTTGGTAATGTAGAAAAACACCTAAAATACATTTTGATAGCTATTCTATTGTTTAACAAGATGGCTGCGTCTAGACTGGCATGATTTTGCGGAAATACTTTTAATGGAAAAGCTTTTCCGCAAAAGAGCGTCTAGATTGGCATTGATGCTTTTGCACAAAAAGTGCTTTTGCGCAAAAGCATCCGTGCCCAGTATAGACGCGCTTTTGCGCAAGTAAGCTCCGATGGCCATTTTAGCCATCAGGCTTTCTTGTGCAAAAAATTAAGGTGCCTGTCTACTCTGGCCCTCTTGAGCAAGTATTTTTGCGCAAGAGGGCTTATCCCTGAGCAGGAGCGTCAAAATATTTGCAAAAGAAGCACTGATTTTGTACATTACAAAGTCAGTGCTCTTGTGCAAATTCAAGCGGCCAGTGTAGACAGCTGGCAAGTTTTTGCGCAAAAGCAGCTGCTTTCCAGTCTAGACGCACCCGATGATTAAAACTGCAATTAATCATGATTAAAGAGTTGAGTTAATTGTGTGAGTTAATTCCAATTAAGCAATGGCTCTAATATTCAGTATGTAAAACTGTGTCAGACATAAGGTGAGGTGTTCGTATGATTTATATGGAGCTTCCAGAGACAAAAATCATACGTTACTATGATTCTCAAACTTTTATTTAGAGCTCACTTTTATTATCTTGTTTTTGGCTCGCTTCCCTTCTTAATCTTCCAAGCTAAGAGTCTCAAAACTCAACTTATCTGGCCCCAGCACTGTAGTATCTGAGTGCCTCACACTCTTTAATGCGTTCATCCTTGTCTGTACTGTAAGGAAATACTATTATCCTCATTATACAACAGGAGAGCTAAGGCATAGAAAAGGCTAAAGGAGTTGCCCAAATCACTAAAGAAGCCTGTGATGGAGGAAGGACTTGAACACAGGTCTCCATAGTCAAAGCCAGGATATAAAAATCTGCACCATTTTGAGATGTGTTAAAATGATTTATTCTGAAGACCACCAAGAAGAACACCTGGGAGTCATTTTGCTCTACACATCAGGGTTTTAAGAGCTGCACAGAGCTCATCTATACTGATCCTACATGATTTCTCTCTCTTGCAACAGTTAAAATAAAAAGGCAGATTCCACCTTTGCTGTGAAGTGACAATGTTGTAAGTTTGCAACTGTCTATTGGTATCCCCTGACTGGCCCTTTCCTGAAGGAGGCAACTTGCTTAAAAATAATGACTCTAGGGCTACGTCTACACTGCAGTCTTCTTGTGCAAGAACTTTTTGCGGACGAGATCTTCCACAAAAAGTTCTTGTGCAATAGTGCTCCCACATTGCCATGTGCTTTTGCGCAAGAGAGTGTCCACCCTGCCATGGACACTCTTGCGCAAGAAAGCTCTGATGGCCATTCACAGAATGGCCATCAGAGCACCTATGCTTTTTCCGATAGGGGTTTCTTGCACAAGAAATCCCTGTTGTCCGTCTACACATGCCTTTTTGCACAAGAGCTCTTGTGCAAAAAGCCCTGTCTTCTGATGACCTACTATACTCTTTCTTGCACAAAAACGTGCTTATAGTGTGGACACTCTGTGAGTTTTTGTGCAAAACCGGGAGGTTTTGTGCAAAAACTCTGCAGTGTAGACATAGCCTAGGGATCTGTCCACAATACCCATTTCTCATCCTCTGCATGGGGCTTACTTAAACTGTAGGGTCTGGTACTTGGAAAGAAAGGTACCAGCATAGGAAGGTGAAAAATTCACGTGTATAATTTCTTTATTTACAACCACTTCCACTTGCCCAGCCCTGGTATTGCATTGCAGCTTCAGAGCACCCTTACCCCCATGTGGCCCTGGATTAAACTCTTTCTGGGACCAGATGGGTTGGTGCAAAGTGGGTTTTTATTGCAGAATCACCCATCCCTTTTTACCAGCCTTGTGACAGGTGCATTAACAATACATGCTGTACCCACTGTGAGACTAGGTGTAGGGACATACTAGTACAGTGCTGTATGAGCAATTTATTAGACATTCATGGAGATGTCTTTCCAGTTAGGCAACTCAGTAAACTCCTGTTGCCAGATTTGCCAATAGCTGACAGTGTGGAGGGAAGGTGAAATATGCAAATTGCCTCGACTGCTTTTGTGGACAAATCTGTGGTGAGCAGCTTTATAAATCAATGTCTTTTAAAATTGATCATGGATCACTTCTCCTTTAGTGCTTTCTTTCAGGGTGGCTGTGTCTAGACTGGCAAGTTTTTCCGCAAAAGCAGCTGCTATTGTGGAAAAACTTGCCAGCTGTCTACACTGTCCGCAAGAACACTGACGATCTCATGTAAAAAATCAGTGCTTCTTGCAGAAATACTGTGCTGCTCCCATTTGGGCAAAAGTCCTATTGCGCAAAAGCTTTTACGCAAAAGGGCCAGTGTAGACAGCTCAGATTTGTTTTGCGCAAAAAAGCCCCGATCGCGAAAATGGCGATCGGGGTTTTTTTGCGCAAAAGCGCGTCTAGATTGGCACGGACGCTTTTCCGCA